GGGGAGGCAAGGAGGAAATGGGCCCTTTGGCAGTTTTGCCCTACCATTGAAAAATCCTTTAAAAATGCACTGATCCCAGTCAACGTTACGAGCAGAAACCCGTCTTCAGTTTGTTCGTCTGATGAAGTTTAAAACGAGTTGCCCGTCCAAGACGAGAAACTCGTCTAACTTTCCCGTCGCTCAGACGTTCAAAAGTTGAGACGGAAGACCCATCGTTAACCGAATTTATATCTGGACGAGTTTCCCGTCTCAGAGTCAGACGGAAATCCGTCCTCTAATATGAATTCAGCTAATAAGTTGTATAGTTGAAACGTGCAGAAAAAACCGTACGTGAATATAGAAAATTAAAGCAGTTTTTATCTGCCAAGTTGTCTACAAGTTAATCAGTTTCGAAATCGCACAAAATAGATTTTAAAATAGGTGCAAAGACTGGCACTAGCTTCAAATCGCCTTTTTTAACAGGTTGCAGTTCAGGAAACATTTCGAATATATAAAACTGCTTTAATGTTCTATAAACATTTTTTGTCTACCTTTTAGCCATAGAACTCTATTTTTTTGTGAAGTTCTTTAGAATATTAATTTTAAGATTTCGAGCAGTAATGGAAATTTATAATAAAATGTCAGAAATTCCAAATTTTTTGGCTATTATAGCATTAATTTCATAGATGCCTCCATATCTGATATTCATACTTGTGTCAAAGTCTACACATCCTATCGGTATAGTTCTTTCTCCACAAAATTCACAAACTTTCACTTATCCGCCCCACTACATTTTTGGGACTTGATTACATTTTTTGGATTAGAATGAGTAGCATACCAAAAGATGATTTTACTGTAACGTCGCCTCAAATTTCGAGCAAGCATGCAGTTCACGGTTTTCTTAGTCTTCCAAGAAATCCTCTACAACTTCCTGGAATTACCCAATTACTTCCTGGAATTACCCAAATACTTCCTGGAATTACCCATTTACTTCCTGGAATCATCAAAGCGACCAAACAGAACAGAATAAACATTCAATTGCAGGATAGAGCATGTAAAGTCGAGTGGTAAAATCAAGAATAGAATATTTTGAGCTTTTTTCTGCAGAGGACCTAGTCGACAACGTAACATAAATGCTGTATATATGAGGTAATTAAATTTTCATACATATATTGTAGTAATTCACTATTGTTATCAAAATTTATCGAGTAGATTTTGTTGCTTTTGGGTGTTCCATATATGGCCATGCAAAATCCAATGGAAATGGTGTATAAGATTTCCATGCATGTTTCTTTTGTGTTGTATTGTTTAATTAAATGCTGAAACTAAGCTAGCTGTATAATATTCAAGCTAAAACTAAGACAGTGACAAAGTGAAAGCGACAAAGGTCTATAAAGGCAGAAATATGGTCTATATATATATATATATATATATATATATATATATATATATATATATATATATATATATATATATATATATATATATATATATATATATATCTCTCTCTCTCTATATATATATATATATATATATATATATATATATATATATATATATATATATATATATATATATATATATATATATATATATATATATATACTTGCCACTTGACTTGGCCTATAGGAAAGCTATATATATATATAGATGTTGAGAATTGAGAAAATATAGAAGCAAGGCTATCAATTTAATTTAGAGAATGTGTCAATGCAAGTTTCAGTTCAGTTATGGTATGATTATGAAACTGAAAGGAATACCTGAAAATTGACACATTATAAAGTCACTTCTTGGAATTCGCACAGTAGGAGGCAGTGAAATTATTATCAACTAGAATATATCATCAATTATTTTAGCTTAGTATTTTAGGTTGAAAAATGGCTCAAATATTTTAGCATTAGAGCAAGAAAGAAGAGCTCATGAAGGCAAAACATATATTAAACACACTATTAATCAAGAAACTAATTTTTTATATAAAAAAGCTCCATTGACATGCATTTAGGCCTACAGTATACTCAGTCATACCTCTAAACACAGTATATGCTAACATGATATGTTCATATTGTACGTGCAGTAGAATCGGTATTTATAGTAACAATATAAGTATATAGGCTACTATTACTGTATATGGATTAACATTGTATGTGATATTACGAATATTGCATGATATTATAATTTATATAGAAGGGTTTAGACTTTCTAAGTTCTAAACTATAGCTTAAGGTTTTAACTAGCTTAAGCAAAGGCAATAAGGTTTGTCTATATGACAGGAACACATTAAAGTGATGGCATAAAAAATGGAAACTCCATTTGTGCCTGACAGCAGGGTCTATAATATCCTTTTCTACCATGAGCAGACAATTTCACGAGATATAAAATCTGATGAAACACACTCCGCATATTAATTAGTTAGAATCTTCTACTCAAGATTCGAGCCATTTAAAGAAGGGTTCCCTCTTTATTTTATGTTAAGAAATTGTTTTGTATAACCTCAAATTCCTTAATGCTTTTAATTCCAAGAGTTTGTTTATCTTAAAATGCGGAGAGTGAGCCGGACAGTTTTATATCCACAACAAAATGCCCTTTGGCTTCGCTTTATGGCAAACTAATTTGTTCCGATAGAAGGAAGTATTTAAATTTACATGCAAACACGTCTTATGCATAGCTTTGATTGAAATCAAATGAAATGGCTAAATTGTAATTTACGTCTGTGCATGAGTATAGTTTACGAGTATATATACTTTCATCGATCTAAATCTAAACAACAATAGGAAAGCTTTCTGGATACTAAAAATTTCAATTGCGTAGAAGGGAATAAACCGGCCATTTTTAAATCTGTGATGACGAATCTGATCGGGAAAAGCGATTACTCCCTAAAGTTACATCCTAAATTTGGCTAACAAGGAATTAACCCGGCTAAATGTACCTATGGATTGCCCTGATTCCGATATTTAATATAAGTGTTTTTAACAACGATAATATACAAACAACATGCAATTGATCATGTCTGTATCAAATATATAGTGTCGTAAAATGCAGATATAGTGGCGTATGCATGATCTATTTTATCTCATGGTGTATATAGCAACTATATACGTATTTCCAGATTGAGATATGACTTCTGCAGTCTTATTTTCCAATCAAATCTCAGCTTTGTGACAAAATGTAGCAATTATTCGTAAAAAGTTACATATATAAAAGACGACATACCGATAGCTTCTCCATTTTGCTTTCTAGGGAACGCCAAAATGCCAAAAATTCGGATGAGTTTTGTTTTTGACATTTGCCGTTTAGAATTTCTTTGAAGCTAGTATACATCTCTTCTGCATTCGTACCATCAGATCGTTCACCAACCAAAGTTATTGCTGCTAAACTCAGCATACTGATTCCATCCTGACCAATTTGTGGTTCGATTATTGCTTTGCTATATGCAGCAACCATAGAGAGCGGACATCGATTTCCCTTCGATTTATTTTCTTTCGGTGTTGACATTATGCCAATGGTGAATAGCCCTGTTTGAAAGTTTATATTTCTGTAGTAAAATTTTGAATCGCACAAATATAATGTTAGCTCGTTGAAGACCCACGAACAATAATCCAAATAGGGCCTACGTCATTTTCACGAATTTTATACTATATGGTAATGATACCCCATGGAGAATATAGTGGTTGTCATAAGATTTATGTATAAATTGCAATATTCTTTATTGTTATTATTTTTCCATGTACAATATTTCTTAACAAATAGTTGTAATATATTTACAAATGATAAGGCTACAGTTATATAGACCTATATATAGCTACTTAGAATCAAACCTTTACAAGCTAGCTTTTTATATTTAGGCATCTGGTTACTATATATCACTATGCTATATTAATATTTATATGTTCACTAGCGACCTTAAAGTGCCTATGCGACAATTTTTTTTTATGATTGGATTGCAAAGTTCATTTAAAATCACAATATAACTTGTTTTCTAAAACTTTGTAATCTTTCCTGTATGTCAAGATTTTCGACTTTGTTTGATATACAAATGTGACTTAAATGACGTCACACTGCATAATGCGTTTTACAGAAGACTGTGTTGTAGCTTGTTAAAATTCTCATTATCTCAAATTTACAGACGAAATGATCGCTTTGATAGCTCTTAAAGTATGTCACTTTCAATGTCAGTGGAATTATCACATGTTTGGCAAGGAAACGTTTTCTTTCTAAAAATCATTATGCAGTGTGACGTCATTTAAGTCAGATTTGTATATCAAACAAAGTCGAAAATCTTGATTTACAGGAAAGATTATAAAGTTTTAGATAACAAGTTATGTTATGATTTTAAATGAACTTTGCAATTCAATCATAAAAAAAATTGTCGTATAGGCACTTTAAGCATCGAGAACATTGCCGTCCGGAACGTTGTCTAATGACCGAGCTTTCCTGGGACGAGAATATTTTGTTTTGCGTGACCGTCGCCACGAAGATGACGTTAAGCACTGACGAGACACAGTACCGCAGGTAGCTTTGAAAATGTAAACAAAACAAAAGTTCATTTCTTGACTTCTTGTCATCCATATTTTATCGGTCATGGGCTCTTTTAAGGAAAACCGTAAGATGCTAATGTTATCCTTTCAAAATAACTGGATCACAGAAGGTGAATTTGTATTACTTTATGAAGCAAACTGCTCAAAAAATTTGATTTTTCCTCATGCCGCGTACGATCGCTTCAACCTCCAAGACATGGACGAAACAGAGTGTTTGAGAGAATTTCGTGTTCGCAAACTGGACGTACCTCGCTTGGCTGATGCCCTTAGTCTACCAGAAACTTTGAGCTGTCCACAGAGGACGAAAACACGACGAATTGAAGGACTCTGTATACTGTTAAAGAGACTTGCTTACCCCTGCAGATATAGCGACCTAATTCATCGTTTTGGCCGTGCAGTACCCGAGTTAAGCATGATTTATAACACGATGGAGGACTGGATATATCAGCATCATCATGACAAAATAACCCAGTGGAATGATAACCTGCTAAATAGTAACGCTCTCCAGTTATATGCCGATGCTATAACACAAACAGGAGCTGCTTTGACCAACTGCTTTGGCTTTGTCGATGGTACGGTGCGCCTTATTTGTCGTCCAGGAGAAAATCAGAGGATTGTGTACAACGGACACAAGCGAGTTCACGCTTTGAAATTTCAGTCTTTGACCCTCCCAAACGGAATCATTGCCCACCTGTTTGGTCCTGTAGGTAAGCGAGCAGCTGACAAACAGCACATTATTTTGTTACATATTTACTGAAATTCACAAGCCGGTATGTAAACAAAGCCTCCGAATGGTCGCTGAACAATAGTAAGCCAATCAAATGCATTGTTTACAAACCGGTTTGTGAATATGATTATGACCCTTTGAACTTCCCAAGTTTAATCCCAACGAAGTTTGTAACGAAGTTCGCAACATTCAGGGAAACGTTATGTGAAATCAACTGTAACTGCAGACATTACATTAATTTACCTGTAATTTGTATCAATTGAAGAAATATGCCAAATCCTGGCCATAACAATTCATATAATAAATTTATATAATTAAGCTATATGTATAGGAAATAGCTATAAACAGTATAATATAATGTAACAGAACTGAGTATTACATTTAATGCCTGTATTCTGAAAGCTCACACTCAAAGAGTGAAAGTTCAATCTGAGCTTAATTCCTTGGGTGTCAGTGCGGTTTTTGAATGGCTGGAGGGTTAGTATTGTACCTTACTATATGTGACTATTCACCCTTCAACTATTCAAAAACAGCATTGACACTCAAGGGAAGTTTAGATTGAACCTCCACTCTTTAAGTGTAAGTGAGATTTTAGAATGCAGGCATATCATGTCAATTGCCTGTTGTTGTTAATTCATTGTTATGATATTATAGAGGGGAAAAAACACGACTCCGCCATGCTGACAGACTCTGGTCTCCTTGAGGAACTTGAGCAACATGCTTTTTCACCAACAGGAAATACCATGTGCATTTATGGTGACCCAGCCTATCCCCTGAGGATACATCTACAAGCACCATTTCGTAACAGGGCTCTCACACCACAAATGGAAGCATTCAATAAATCCATGAGCTCTGTCCGTACATCTGTGGAGTGGATTTTTGGAGATGTAATCAGTTCATTTAAATTTTTAGATTTTAAAAAGAACCTTAAGATTGGTTTGAGCACAGTCGGTAAACACTATATTGTTAGCTCACTACTGCGAAATGCTTTGACTTGCATGTACAGAAATACTACATCTAAATACTTTGGTGTTGATCCTCCTTCTGTAGAGGAATACTTTGCATAGCCAATCACACGCGAAAGAATGCAATTAATGATTGACCCATTAAGCGCCAGCGCTCTCCCCTTGACAAGTAAAATCGTCTGGCATTAGACAGAGTAAAATAATAAAGAAAGGCGCACCCAGAGGCATAGCCAAGATTTTTGGTCAAGGGAGCCAGCAAAAACCTCGGTGTGGCCAGGCTTCTTTTCTTAGGGGGGAGCCAAAATTTTACCAGGGGGGTGGCCCCCTCCCTGGCTATGCCTCTGGGTGCATAAGGGCACAATGAGACTTAATGGGTTAACTTCAGACACAGTTGCACAGATAGGCCAGTTAACACATTAAGCACAATTTTACCCTTGATGGGTAAAATTGTCTGGTATTAGACACAGTAAAATAATAAAGTAGGGCGCATCAGGGCGCAATGCGACTCAAGGGGTTAAAATTACAAGTGACACTCGCCTCGATGCAATTTTGGCACATTTTTCAAAAATCACAAGCAGTGGTAATCATTAATTGTATGAAATGCCGATGTGATTATCACTTATGATATACACAAGTCATGTTTCAGGGGGAGTTACTATTTTTAGATTAGGGTTTGGATTATGGTTTGGATTAGGGAAAGGGTTAGGATTAAGATTAGAGCAGGGGTTAGGATTAGGGTTAAGTTTAAATTAAAATACAAAATTACAAGTGTTAAAATAGTAACTTGATCTTCTAAAACATGACAAGTATAATGATACAGTATACGTCATAAAATGAATACATGAATACGATTGTGTTGTAATGTATTATATTATTATTAATAATAACAATAATGGATAATAAGACTTGATTAATTATTTTTAAGAGAATATATTAAATATTAACAATTAACTGAATTTTTATTAAATATGATAACATTTTGTACAACAATTCCAATATATAATTTGAAATCAATACAACAAATAAAATTATACACCTTTCCATATAACAATTTAATTTTTTTTTGCCAACAGAGCAAGCAACAATTGATTTTGTTGTTGCTGTTGTTGAACAAGCAGTCCATGAAGTTGCATGAATTGCTGTTGTTGTTGTTGTTGTTGTTGCTGTTGCTCTTGCTGCTGCCTTTGTAACATCTCCATCATGTCCTGATGCTGCTTTTCTTTTGCCTCAGCATCTTTTACTCGTAATTGCATTTCTTGAGTCGCTCTTTCATTTAAAAATACCACAAGCTCAGATCCATTAGACCTTCTCTTTTTAGATCTCTGCTGGCCCAACCCGTCTTGCTCACTCCCTTGACTCCCCACTCTTTTCTTTGTTTCACCCAGTGATTCCATTGCTTTCAGTCTGATATCTTCAGCTTGTTCTTTTTCTTTCTCCAGTTTCTTTATCTTTCTCTCATTCTCCTCTTCCACTATTTCTATGCTTGCCTCCATTCTGTCTGCTATCTCCTCCAACAGAATGTCCAACTCACTTTGTTCTGGGCAAATTCCACTTGCCCTTTCTTCTTCTTTGTTTTTCTTTTTGAACTTTTCAACCATTTTCATAACATGCTCACGTACAGACCTTTTGTCTACTTTGAAACATGGATCTTTAATCTTGCTTAGATTATCTGCCACAGTTTGCCATGCCTGTGCTCTCTGCACTGTTCGTTCCTTCGCTTTATAAGGCTCTATTGCCAATACTTCTCTGCACAGGATTACGTTTTTTAATTCACCCCATTCCATTTTACTTCTAAAATGAAAAAAAAATAGAATTGACTGTGGTTTTTACATATGACATGGTTGTGTAATTTTTGGTCTACTTTTGTGTACTTCATGTTTTGAGATGAAAGTGTCAGCCATTGTTCATAATTATTAAATGACATTTACACTAAATATTTGAAGCACTGTATTAATTCGAATAGCAAAAAAAAATTATATTGTGGCAATGAAAGTATTCCTGAAGAAATTCCACTGTTTACTTTATCTTTTTTTCTTTAAAAGAACTCAGGGGAAAAAGGAAATTTTTTTGAATAGCTACGATATAAAATAAACTCGCAAAAGTGTTTGTAAAACGGATACTGGATATTTGGAAATATCAAAATACCAAGAAAAATAATAAATAATACTTTACTTACGGTTTCCTTGAAGCACCAGCAAAAAGAACAACGGGAACATCCTGTAAAGCCATAGTTTTGTTCACGTTTTCTCCGGAACTCAATACGACCCAAACTCACGTCCTGGACAAAACCTTGACTGCGTCCTGGCGGTATTACGTCACGCGTATTAGACGAAAATCACTTCCGGTCAACGTTCCGGACGGCAATGTTTTCGATGCTTAAGGTCGCTACTATATAATGTAGATCATCCCCGAGCCACGCGCGTAGTGGGTAGGGCGAAGCCCGTGTAAGGATACTATTAAATTTCGCTTTGTGCTATTTACAGCCGGAGAAAGGTAAAAATTCATGTCTCGTTGTTTATGAATGCTTAGCCCTATCCTTACCCTGACTCTAACCCTAACTGATGACCTTATAACTCATGAACAGCGAGACATGAATCTATATCCCGGGGAAAGGAAAGCATTACGAAGTCGTCTAAAGTTCATCAATAATCGCGGGCGCCATGGTTATCTCACTGATCTCAAAAATATAGCTGTTTGTCAGGAGTGAAGCGGGAAACAAATATTAAAAAAAAACCATGACAGACATCTTGGAAATCATTTCACATGCCACAATAAGTTGTAAATCACCTTTTTCAAATTTTAAAGAAACAATAAGTATGAGAAATCCTGAAGTATAGGGTAAGTTTGCTTTTACTGTTTATGTATGACGTAGCGTGTTGTGTTTAGTGTGCGGATAGTAAATGGAATAGCCCAAGTTGAGACTTCATCAAGATTCGATACAACAAACAAAACAGAGAAATAAATTTATTGTTTACATAAGCCTCTTTTATACAGAGCTTCTACTATAATACGCTTAAACTAAAGAAAACTAATATTGCATGCATGCATGCATGCATGCATGGAATCCCGGAATAACTATATATGTCTAGGCTGGGCATCCATATATATATATAACATATGTCAGAAAGTGCGGCCATTATAGATAAAAGTTAGTGCTTTGATTGACAATAAAAAGCTTAATTAAAAGATTGACTTCATGAACAAAAAAAAATCAATTTCGATGGCAAAATTTTTTTGATAAACGCTAAGAATATTATAGGTTCAGTCTGAAGTAATGCAATTAGTTGATTCATTCATTTGAATAGCTAATTAATTTATATACAGCTTGTAGTGCAATATCCAATCAAGCAATCTGCATGTAATAGAGTTGGATGAAATTATTCAGAGTTCTTGTCTCCCAGCCACGTCATGGTGACCCGACCATTGTAGATGAGTTTCCTGTCAAATGAAATAATAATTAATTTGTTCCACAGGATTTTTTTAGTACAAATGGCACATAAATTTGGTAAATATTATATAAACTTCAAACAAACAGGTTGTGTTAGTTCAAAACTAACGCAACAGAGGCCGCGGAAGCATTTCGAAAGTGGAGGGACATTGGCCAAAAAAGGACTAAAATCAAAGATTTTATGTCGTTCGTTCACGAGCCGAACGAAAATTTTTGAAAATATTGAGTTTCTAATCGGAAATTGTCTTTACAAGAGTCTTTACTACTGCATAAAGGGCACCGATTCTTTCCAGCAAAAGAGGGCGTTCATTCAAGAAACCCTTTTTCGTTCCTTAAATCGGGCACTTTTGAAAAACAGCATTGGTTAGGGACATGTTTATTATTGGGGTTAAAGTCAAAGAGAAATTATCGTGTGTGAAATGTGGGAGACACTACCAAAAGTTTCTTCTGATTGCTTACACATACCACTGTCTCTGAAACGATGTTAGGCCCTCTCATGTCCATTGCCTCATATCTTTGCAATTGGACTAATTGGCGTTGAGTTTGTATGAACAGCATTATCTTCATGCCTTCCAGTTTATGATTTTTCTCTTCGAGTTCCTCGATTTTCTTCATCAGTTTCATGATTTGGTTCTGCGAGATAAGAAAATGTTATAAACTTAGGTAGTTTTTGCTGTCTCGTAGTGGATCCTGAAAGATTGTGTATGATTTATAAAAACTTGTACTCATGATGTCTAAATATTGGGCCAATATGTAAAACGTGGTGTGTCCACAAAACAAAACCATTATAATTTCACGTTTGATGCAAAAGCTTCCATTACCTCATTACACAGTGTACTATCCTTTTCAGGCTTCTTACTGTTCTGTCCTGAGTGCCCCCCACACGCTCCATCTACTTTCGCGTCTCCCAAAATATCTGATTCCCTTTCAGGAGACGCTGAAACCTTTAACAAATAACGAAATTAGTTTAAACTGAAAAACGTTTTCAGGGGGGAAAGCACACAAACATGCAGAACTGCAGCTGTATATAGTTAGAGTAGTTTGTCAGTTTATAATTTTAGTTTGGACCAATCATGCAAACACACAGATTTTGTCTGCATTTCAAAAAATACAAAAAATATAATATGCAAAGCATGAGCGGCCGTGTTGCGAGAGGTTGTATGTCTGATACAACACGGACGCAAATGCTTTGTATAGCTTCTCGATGACAACATTGAATTTGAAACTAATAAATTAATGATTTTTGTGAGAAAATTAAACATAAGTTTCATGTAAATCA